CTTAATATGGATTTCAAAGGGCCATTACCATTGAAATCACGGAATAAGTATATACTAACGGTCATTGACGAATATAGTCCTTTTCCCTTTGCTTTTGCCTGCAGACTTTTATTAAAAGAATTTTATTAAAATAGGTTAAGATTTCATGGTTCTTTTTTTTCATTTAATTAACCAATTTTGTGAGCGAGATTTTATTCTTAAATTAACCCTATCGATCGATGCAATAAAAGTGCAGGGTGCATTTTTTTCAGATTTAAAGCGAGTACGATTCCCGCGTGTTGCTAGAAATTTTCGAAAATCTATGAATGCAGTTTTATTTCTTTTAAAAAATAAAGGAATGTTTCCTTTAAGTAAAAATTTCTATCTCCCGTATTTAGAGTACTTTCCTTCCAGGTGGCATTACAAATTTCCACCCTGTATAATAACAGAATAACTTGGAACCTAGAATCTTGTAATTTCCACATTGTAGAGGCGACTGTGAGTACTAACTTTCCAGCATTTTGTACACGTGCACGTCCGCGTCTACATTCAACTGGCGGCACGCCCACGGCAGATACTCGGCGATGTTGATGGGGCTGGGCCTGTACTCGGCGGAGAGTTGGCGAGAGGGCGCCTCGACCACGTCCTCAGTGGTGTGCGGAAACAGCGTGGCCGTGGTGCCCTGCGTGTCCGTCGTGTCCAGCGTGTCCATGCTCGCGGCCCTGAGACCGGGCGCATCAGTTCCTCGCGCACGCCTTGCGCCTCCCTTGTGCATTATTATCTGCGCACTGACTTATACCGACTGACTCGTACTAAAATAAACAATTCAAAAAAATTGCATACAGCTCAAATATAATTTACTTCAAAAAAATTATGTCAAAAGAACACCATGACACTTAGACTATGGAAACTAAAGGACGTTACGTTGACATATAAATCAGTTATATACGTTATATGTATATGATGCATTTCGACGTCGAAAACATAAACATGTTATTGTCTTTGTTTAACTATTACGTGCCGTCTTAAGCCAAAAGAGATTAAGCCAGAAGAGAGAGCATTACATTGGTCTGTGTCAAACACGGGAATCGAAAATACGTAATGTCATCTTAAACGCCAACCGTGTCCATTTCGCAGTACATGAGGTACATGATACCGTTGTCAAAGGGAAGTACATCAAATGTCAACAAACAAATGTTTTTCCAAATGTACTATTGAATTATTCACATGTATTATAATTAAATTGGAGAAAAATATTGACAGTGAGAATAATTAAGTATTAATAAAAATACGACGCTGCAGCATTAAGGGATGTGACCTTAGAAAAAGTGCAAATTGATCGAATGTTACATTGCACAGGCATGTGTAATTTTTTTGTCTATAAATCACACAATAGCCCAAATATTTCATGTAATTAGACTTATTTAAGTAGTTTATTTGTAAATCTTGCCAAATGTTGCTTTTGTTACTTTAGATAGTCAAATCGCGACAGAGGGAAAATTACTTTTTAAAAACTAATTATAAAATAAAAAGCGAACAATTCGTTTGATGGTCGATATAAGACTGATTTATTTTAATTAAAAATTCTTACTGCTACGCGCCTTTCAACTATAGACATGGAACTATGCAGTTTTGGGTGCAGGTGCATTTATGATGACCATGCCATCTAAATAGGAGTGAGACTGTGTAAGTAGATTGCCTGTTTGTTTGTATAACGATTATTTTGAGATAGTGTTGATCTTGTAAGCGTACATATTATCGATAATCTGTTATTAAAACCATTCACTACGAGGTTTTTATTGTTTTATTATTATTATTTTATTATTTCAAGTTTTCCTACAAATGAAAAAAGGAAAAAAGAATGGTTGGAAATCAGAGGACTGCCGAATATAAACGTTGGATCAAAGACCATCTTCATTTGTTCGCTTCGTTTTGAAGAGTAAAATTTTAACAGAATTTTGAAAGTAACTAGATTACATGACAATGCTATTCCATCATTAGGTTTATTCATCAATAATTTTATGTTCAATTTAGATTAAACAAGACTCATTTACTATTTATCATTATAACAAAATTATCCACTCGTTTCTGATTTTTCCCAGTGACAACTCTAACTATTAAAAATGACTATTTTTTAAAGCCTGCAATACAATGACATGTTAGTCCAACGTTGCCGGGTAAAGGCCAATACCAACGTATAGACAGCCTTTTTGCCTTGCCTTGCCATCGTTCGGTGTCGGTTTGGCTTATCACAAATCAAAGGCGCTCCGCCAATAGTGTTCACACGTTTGTCCGTCCGCATATATAATGCAAGTACGAATGCGCATGTCGCCAATAAACTGCACAGCAGTTTGGTGACTTTTACTAAATAAGTTACCAGTTGGAAACATGAAAATAATTTTTTTTTAAAGTTTCAAAATGTGTGTTGACATTTATAATAACATATCACTCGAGATTAAATTATTAGACTTGTGTTTGTTTAAGCATACGTTGGTTACATTAAACTAAAGAAACAAAAAAAAACAGTTTCAACATTCAAGCCATACATTTGCATGTCGATAATGACTTATCGATAGATTATGGTACAACACTAAAGAAATCCGATATTTGTAACTTTCAAATTTTGGTTACATGTACGTTGATTCTGTAATTAGGGCAGCTCCTTTCTTTTATTTTTTCCATACTCTAAGGGCCAAACATTGGTTTTGGCATTTAATATACTTCCCTTTGACAACCGGAAACGGTTATCAAAGGGTACTACAAAAATGTCAAAATGAGGACAGTTGACATTTAAGATAACGTTACGTATTTTCGATTCTCGTGTTTGACATATATCAATGTAGTGCTATCTCTTTTGGCTTACGACGGCACGCAGTAGTTAAACAAAGACAATAATATGTTTATGTTTTCAACGTCTAAATGCATCATATACATATAACATCAGATGTCAATATAACATGTCCATTGGTTTCAATTTCCATAGTCTAAGATTTTTTCCATCATTTAAGGATGTTATCTTTATAATAGACTTCATTATAGGATATGACAGTCGAATGTTCAGGCTCTTTTTCAAGTATATTTAAAAGTCTTTGTTGGTATTTCAATAAAAGTAGTTTGGTTTATAAATAGACAATCGTGTCATAAGAAAAATAACATCTTTCTTCTGTCATTCTTATATAGTTAACAATGCACGTCTTTATTTAAAATGATTTAAAAATATCTTATTAAAACTCCATTTTCATTCCAGTAATACTGCATCTTGCACAAATTACAACTGTCTTAGGGTCGTATTCCAGAACTCTACTCAATGCTCAAGTCAGGACTTGAGTATGGTTTAAAGCACTAGAAATCATACTCAAGTCCTTGCCATTAGGGTCGTATTTTCAGTGCTTGAAATCATACTCAAGTCCTGACTTGAGCTTTGAGACGAGTTCTGGAATACGATCCCTAGACTATGGATCTTTTTTTCTATTCTTAAAGATATACCCAAGTCCTTGGTTCAGTTACCCAAAGAGAATGTACACATTTCTTTAGTTTGAAAGGGTTGTAACCCTAACTAGCCGTGAACAGGTTCACGGCAATGAAATGGGAAACCTTCCGGTCCACAAAATTTATTAAAGAAGTAAAGTTTAAAGAGAGGCCCTAAATGGGCCGAGAAAGTGAATTACAGAAATAGATACATGAAGGGTGTAGACTTATAAATTATTACACATGATTAGCTTATTAACAGCTCCGACTGTTGTGGCGGTCGAGCTGGGAGTGACCGTGGTACGAAAACATAATGAAAAAGTGAAGGAAGATGGAACAATTCAAATTTAAAATTTAAATACATGTAAAATAAAAAAATGATAGGATACAAGAGGAGAGAGGCGTTACAAAAAGGTGAGATGACGGTTACAGGAGGTCACTCCGTTGTTGAAATACACACACACAAGTTGAAATAAAATGCCCCATTTCGGAAAAAACAAAAAGCAATTCCACCAAAGCAAGCAACCAAAAAAACAACATCACGATTGGACAGAGCAACACGTATTTTTTTGTGACTTCATATTTAATTCAATTTCATGTGTAAAAATTAGTTATTCCTTTTTTTAATTCATATCAGTGCGTTCCTAATACTGTGTATAATTTTGTGGTGTAAATATATCTACAATTCTAGTCTTGAGCCGCCCGTGATAAGCAAATAAAAACTTGAAGTGACCTAGTAACCTCTAAATTGTGTGTCGGGGCTATCGAACTATAACAAAAGAAGACCTTGAAGTCATTAGTAATACTTCGACTAACATCTGAGCGGACACTATTGCATCGCTATTTCGCCCAAACACTTATCAGCGAGTTTGGTGCTGTGGTAGAGCGGTCAACGCGTATGCTCACGGCTGTCGGTTCGATACTGTCCTGTGGTGAAAAATTATACCGGATTTTTTTTTTTTGTTTTTGTTTGTTTATTGTCGTTATTTATTATTTTTGATATTCAATTATATTCACCACTATGCCAAGAAAAATGCAGTGTGCGGGTTGCCTAACTGATTTGGGCATGTATTACTTACAATGCTCTCTCTGTAGTAAAAGTTATGACTTGGACTGCTGTCGTATGAATTTAAATGAGTATAAAAAGCTTTCGCATACTTACAAGACTTCATGGAGCTGCGTCATTTGCTGCAGTAGTCGACGCAAAGGGGGAGATAACTCCAACACGCCAGTGCGTAGTACTCGAGCTGGTGATTCGCAAGACGCGGAACGTCATAGCGAGCGACAGGATAGTAATATTACAATTCGCAATAAGGGCAATGTTGTGACACCTGTCAGCAGCAGTGAAGGGTCTCGCTCCAATGAAACAGAGGAAGATACTAAGCAGTGCAAGTTGATTGATGCAATTTCTGAACGCGTTCTTGAATCTATCCGCCAGGAGCTCCCATAAATTTTTTCACGTGTACTAAACAAAGAGCTCTCTACCATCAAGACTGATATCCAGGAACTTCGTAAGTCAGTAGAATTTATCAGCGAGGCGCATGATGATTTTAAACTCACTATTGATACATTAGACAAAGATAATACCCAACTAAAAGGTGCTAACCAGCTCCTCCAGAGCACAGTTCACGGTCTGGAAGATAGATTAAATAACCTCGAACAGTATCTAAGAGAAAATAACTTAGAGTTACATGGTGTCCCTGAATTTCTTTCGGAAAATTTAACAAATGTGTTACAACAATGCTCGAAATTTATTGGACATCAACTGAATGACGGCGACATAGTTGGCTGTGTGAGAGTTGCCAAGCTAAACAAGGATAGCAAGTTTCCGAAGACAATAGTGGCCAAATTTAGGAGTGTTCGTTGCCGCGACGAATTCTACTCAGCTGTGTACCGCTACAATAAAGCTCACCCAAATGACAAACTAAACACAAATCACCTGGGAATAGCGGGTGAAAAAAAGCCAGTTTATGTCTCTGAGCATCTGTCCCTATTCTTCAAGAGTATACATGCGGCTTCGAGAAAGAAAGCAAAGGAGGCTGGGTACAAGTTCGTATGGGTGCGCAATGGTCGCATCTACGTGAGAAAAGACTCCGATTCTTCGTATATCTACATCAAGAACCAAGATAGTCTAGAACTCATACGCTAGAGTAATACTGATTAGTTAGTGCTTATTTATGCGTTCATCGAAATTCAATCAATGAAATGGCTATGTCTATTTATTACCAAAATGTACGAGGTTTGAAAAGCAAAACTAATGATATCTACCATTCCTTTTTATGTAATAACTTTGATGTAGTATGTATGGTGGAGACATGGCTCAATGATGGTATTGATTCTTCAGAATTGTTTGATGGCAGATACTGCGTAGTGCGTAGAGACAGAAGTGATGAATTCCTTAAACGCTTCAATAAACGTCATGGAGGGGGGGTGCTGGCGGCGATCTCCAAAAACCTTAATTTTGTCAATAGGACAGAATGGCAATCGGATTTTGTAGAGGATTTATGGATACAAATAACAATTAACAATAAAATAACTATTAATTTGTGCACTGTTTATTTACCAGAATATCTGCCTGTTGAATTTTTTTTAAATTTTGTTACTAAGTGTAAACATGTAGTAAATTCCAACACAAATGCCAAAACAATTATTATCGGTGATTTTAATTTGGGGGACATTGTATGGTCTAAAGATAACGGTCATATAATGACCTGCAACTGTGACAAGTCGCGAGCTCTTTCTGGCTTATTTCAACTCGCTGATGTAACTCAATTAAATAATGTATTTAATCATAACAAAAGACTACTTGATTTGGTGATCACTGATAGCCCGGAGTCCTTCTCCTTAAGCCGTTTAGACGCTCATCATCCTCCCTTAGAAGTAACATTTGTCGATAAAATCCCACTACTAGAGATTACTAGGTCAGTATGCAGTAAACTATGCTTTTATAAAACTAATATCGCAAGTTGCATGGATGAGCTATCATCAATTGATTGGGATCGTTTAGCATTAACTCATGAATGTAATTGTGATGAATTTGTGCATACATTTTATAACATTATCTATGAGATTATTGAAAAGCATACACCTAGAACCAAGACACGTAAGAAGGGGTACCCAGTTTGGTTTTCAAAAAATCTGATTGGGTTGATTCAAAACAAACATAAATACCACCATCGTTTCAAACAGCATGGTAATCCCCGTGACTACGACACCTTTTCAATGCTGAGAACGAGGGTGAAGATTGTACTGGAGAAATGTTTGAGGAATTATATTGATCGTATTGAGACTAATTTATCAGTAAATATTAAAGCTTTCTGGCGTTACACCAAATGTAAAAGGGTAACAAACACGTACCCAAAGCGAATGCGATATAATGACCGCGAGTCTGATAGTGGTAGTGACATAGTGGGCTTCTTTGCTGATTACTTCTCATCAGTTTATGGGGCCCAAAATAATTCGACATATACCCCTGAATTTTCTCCGTCTAATTTGTCAACATTTAAGCTTTCATTGTCATCTGAGCTCGTCATGAATAAACTTAGGAGTATTGATATCACAAAAAGCGCCGGTCCGGATAGCATTCCACCGGTTTTTATTCGTCTTTGTGCTTCGGCTCTCGTGAAACCATTAACTATTATTTATAATATGTCCTTATCTAGTGGCGTGTTTCCTTCACTGTGGAAGATCACAAGGATTACACCTATTCATAAATCTGGTGATAGAGCCAATGTCACTAATTATAGGCCCATTAGTATTCTGAGTTGGTTTGCTAAAATACTTGAGAGCTTAGTATACACTCATCTTTATAAACACCTTAAGCATCTGCTCAGTTCGAATCAACACGGGTTTATTTCTGGCCGCTCAACTACTTCAAATTTACTTGCTTACATGACTTACCTCTGCGATGCATTTAATGATAGGTGTCAGGTTGACGTGGTTTATTTGGATTTCTCAAAAGCATTCGACCGTGTTAATCATACAATTTTGCTTTCTAAGTTATATCACATTGGTATTCACGGTAATCTCCAACGCTGGCTCTCGTCTTATCTTATGAACCGTTCCCAACTGGTGGCCCTGAGTGGATTTGAGTCTGTTCCATTCGTTGCGATGTCTGGTGTGCCTCAAGGATCAAATCTTGGTCCTTTACTATTCATAGCTTTCATTAATGACCTTTTGAACATGATTAGGAGTGATTGTCTTGCATATGCTGACGACATCAAGATTTTCTGTCGAGTTGATTCTTTGAAGGATTGTTTGGCTCTTCAAATAGATCTTGACACGATAACAAAGTGGTGCAACAGCAACTGTATGATTCTCAATGCTAAAAAGTGTCAGGTAATCACTTTCACCAAAAATAAGAAGCCATTGAATCATGCATACAGTATTAAAAATGGTATATTAGACCGAGTAAGTGTTGTGAAGGACTTGGGTGTCATGTTTGATACAGTCCTGTCGTTTAGGTCCCATTACGACTACATATGCAATAAAGCACATAGGTCTTTATCCTTTATCCTCCGTAACACTAAACCATTCCGAAATTCAGCCTCATTAATATTATTCTATAATTGTTTGGTTAGAAGTATTTTGGAATACTGCGCGCCCGTTTGGTGTCCTATATACAATGTCCACATTGAAAGAATTGAGTCTGTTCAGCGACGATTCTTGAGATGTCTTAGTACAAAGTTTGGACTGCGACGTAAGCTGCCGAATTACAGTGACCGCTTGTGCAAATTTGGCATGATCAGTCTTGAGGATCGTAGGCAAGTGTCAGATTTATGTACTTTGCACAAAATCGTTAATTCTGCCATGGATTCTCAGCTGATCGAACACCTGTGTTTTAGGGTACCTACTCGTTCTATGCGTACTCCGCAGTTGTTTAGTGTACCTCTTAGAAAAAATAATGTTTCACAGAATGGACCATTGTGTAGAATGTGTCGATCATATAATAGCATATGTTCCCACCATGACATTTTTTTCTGTAGTTTTGAATGCTTCAAAAGAACACTGTTTACTAGTATTGGCAAAAAATAACTTAAACTTAAACTTTTAACGTCTGTCCTTTTATATTGTTATTTATGATAATACAAATGTTGTGTACAATTATAATTGGATGTCAGATTTATAATGTTAATATATGTAATAGTTCTAAGTATTATTTGTAGTCTGTTATCTGTTGTTGTACCATATAATAAAATAAAATAAAAAAAAATAAAAAAAATAATTATATTAAGAATGGCCAACTCTCTAACAAATGTATGGTGCAAGTCCAGTTAGAAATGTTTTTTTAAATTTTATGTGGCTGACCCAAATTTTGAAAGTAACAGGAAAATTGGAAAAATTCTTGTGAATTTTGATGAAAATTACATAGTAGATATGATGATTGCAGCAAAACCATTCTGGAAAGATAATATTTTTCCTATGGTATTAAATAGTGCCCGTACATAACTTTTAAATTGGTATATTACGGAGTAAGTACCAAAGCGTTGAAACTTATCTCATCATATCTTAAATAGACATAAATGGAGTGACTTCTTTGGGTTCTCTGGTAAAAAATTATTTCTCATTTATATTAATGTACTACCATTCTTTGTTATGAACCTTTGCGAAATAGTATTGTTTGCTGACAAAACATCCTTGATTTTTAAAACAGACAGACATGACATTTAACTATGACAATAGTAACGATACCCTTTCAAAGGTTGTTTATTCATTTAATGCCAAGAAGACAAAATGTAAATCGGACGTTCTTTTTTTCTATTGACAATGGCTTGTCTCCTCCAAAGCCAAACAAAAATAATGACAGTAGTTACTGTTTCTTTTTGCTTTTTTATTCTTATGTTCTTATTAACAACATGATCTATGGGAGTTCTAAAAATTTCACACGTAGTTATTTATTAATTGACCAAAAATATCGTGACGTTGTACTCAAAAAGTGTGACAGAGGTGAAATCCATATAAATAAAATGTGTCCCTCAGCGCTGCGTGCGTTTACAAACCGCTTTCCTAACAAAAAAACTTATGGCTTGATTTATTCTAAAAACGTTATTGTACTTCGCATATATTGTAAATTAGTAATGACAACTTAAAACCATATTTTAAATGAAATATTTTAAATTAGAAAGTTTTTTATTCGTGTCTCTGGTTATGAGTAATTTTGTTGCTATCTTTTGTCATGCGCATTTAAAACACCTACTTCGAAATACGCGATTTTAACTTTGAGCGCTACAGGCCCGTGTGATTCCTTTAATCTCCTCGGACCGCAACTTGCACTAGGCTACACTGGCGAGTCAAGCCAGTCACTCTTAGATTGCCAAAGGAGGTGCGTGTGTTTATTCAGCAACCGGTCGGTCACGTAAGTTAAACCTTTAAAATATTAATATTATTTAATTATTTAGTTGTAATTGTGGCGTATCCTGGCAATTCTTTTATATAAGCTGAACTTTAGTTCCAAATTGTAATACGGTGATGCCTGAAAATTGCAAACGTCACTTTTTTACAACTCCGTCACGGGACACCTTCGTTACAAAAACATGACGGGGTGGTATTTTTCGTGACTGAGTGGTATTTTTTATAAATATTCTTGAACTTTCTGCTTTCGATAGTGGATGCTCGGAAAAGGCTTGTAAACACATGACAACAGAATAACACAGATTAATGAAACTAAAATGGCAAATTAAGAACAAGATGAGAAGCAAAAAACAGATAGCTTTAAGAGACGTTTTATTGAACACTTCTGCTTCTACGTCCCCTCTTTCAAATCCGATGTTACATCCTTTAAGTCCTCAATCTCGTGAATCGACTTCAGAGTCGTCCAGAGCTAGCGCAAGAGGAAGAAAGCAAGTCGGAAGAAGTTTTTCCTCTTCTAAATTGTTTAGCTAAAACACCAATTACTAGAATCATGAAGAAAGTTCACAAAATAAATATAAAAAGACTTAATCGAAAGAATAAGAAAGACGAAAAATTAAACAGTTCAAAAAGCAGTGACAAGGAAAATGAAAATAAACATAGAAATGATAGCGAAACAACTAAAAATATTATGTTCTATCAAATGCAACGTTACAAAAAAAAAATACCACACTGTCACTTTACTACCACTCTGTCACAAATGTGTCACCTTTGCAAGAGTTAAAAGGTATTTGTGTTCAA